TAGATTACTTGGTACAAAATCAATTTCACCTTCAGATAAGAAATTGTTTGTGTTACAAAGTATATGATTCTATCTTTGGAGTCTGATTCAAATTTAGTGCTCTTCGTTTACTTTAAACAACCTAATCTTCATTTCCACTGCTGTCTCTGCTGCAGGGCTTTTTTTAATGTGCACTGAGACAGGGATAATTGCAAGGTTGCCAGGATGTTAGCATGTAAGTAGACGGTACCCTGTTTGAGTGTTGCCAGAACGCACCAAAAAAATAAAAAATAAAATAAAAAAACAAGAGGATTGTATGTTTGCATTGAATAAGTTARAACGCTATTTATTACAGATCAACAAATGGCAACAAGCTACAGYTTTAACCAAATAATATTTAAGTGTAGATTTGATAGGTCCTCAAAAAATAAAAAAATAAAAAACTGGCATTAAGATGCCAATTTTTGGTTACTTATTTGTTTGATATTCTAAATTAAAGTATTTGCCTCTTCTCATTGGTCGTGGGTCACATGACTCATGACTAACCAGTGGGTGAAGGATTATTTGTGTTAGTGTGAAAAGTCATAGGGAACTGCAACTCAAGTTGTTCCTGTAACATTGATTACACAGATTTAAATAGAATTTTAAACATTTGGAATACAGTAATTGAAAATGTTGACAATACTACCAGAACAAAAAATAAAAATAAAAATCAATKTATTTAATAACCTCTACCTTTGATAAGAATACAACAAAAATGACCATGAATGTGTTTTAACCTCTGTCCTGGAACAGAAGATATGGTGGTTGTTGAGGTGAGTTTGCCATGAATTAGCTAAAGCCAAACACCTATTTGGCCCAGGTCTGCTTGAGTGTAGCATGTTAGTACAAAGAAGAAAAAAAAAACAGTATGGAAAGCAATGTGTTTCAAATGAATACCGTGCATACTTTCGAGCATTTGTTGTTTTGACAAGTGGTGATTACTCGTCATGTAACCCAGTTTTGTCACAGTCTGTAAAGTTCCAACCAGGTAGACCTCAGGTGGACATACGCACTCACACAGAACACAATATATACAGTATATAAAAAATAACTTAAATTAATCACAGACTACATTAAGATGTCAAAAATGCTGAATTTTTAGGTGGTTATTTCAAGATGAGACAGAACCTCAGTGTTGATSTGCTTTGTCTTTACTGCCCTCATTTAGCTAAATCAATAATAATCTCTCCTTTTTCCAAGAAGACTAAATGACTTTTGATTCCCCCCAACTTTTATTTGAGATAAGCAATATGCTGCCATAGGATAATGTACAGCWAGATGTATGAGACTCACATAGAGACACAATATGGAGAGAGAAGATTTTATTTATGAAACKATGTAATAGGATTAAATGTCATAAAAAAGCAGAGGTCACTGTAAGAATGATTGTTTTCATGTTTCAAACTGAGTTTTGTTTTTCTCTTTGTTTCACTATTTAAATTGGATGTTGTTCACAAAAAATGCATGTTGTTTTGTATTTTTACTGTTACTGTTTTTTTTTCTTTTAAGTCATATGTGTGTCAAAAAATGGAAAGGCTTTTTAACAACATCTTACTTCTGGTGTATTTGTTTGTTTGMCTCATATTTTAGTTAAAGAGATGCTGAATAATCTTTTGAACGTTGTTGAATCATCAGAAGTAAAACCTACATCAATGTTCCCTTTTGTCTTAAAGGAGTCATATCATGCTTTTAAATCATTTTTTCCCACATTTAAATCATTCAGTTGGTGTGTATATATAAAGTGTAGCTGTGATGCTTTGGTCTGAATTTATCCTCATTGTAACTCCACAAACCCCTCATTCACCTATTTTCTGAGGTGTGTCTCAGATCAACTCGTTTTGAGGCTGTCTCTTTAAATCAAACAAGGCGCTTAACACCTCGCCCCCCTCCAGCTTCCAGAGTGGCCCATTGCACTTTGATACAGGGGTTAATGACTATATAGCAGCACATAAATGTTTTATTTACAAAAATAATTAAAGGATGTCAACAAGGGAAGACTTTTCCATCCAGCCTTAAGGCTCCCTCGGACGTACTGTGTGCAGTCCATGAGCAGCGCGGACTCTGCACATATTGCCCATGGATGTTTAAGACTTCATACTCGAGCGTACTGACGGCCTGACAAATTATTTAATTTCTCGCAATTTCAGTGATGGCGTCAAGGATGAGGAGGAAGAGATAGTTTGCATTTTAGCTTTATAACAGAAGAAAAGAACCTACCTTACCCAGAATCTGAGTCATTTCCTCCCACAAATTTGTTGCTCGTTGAAAGTCTTTAGATTCCTTCATTGACGTATCATAAAGTTTCTATGTTTTCTAATCGCCCCCATGAGACACTCTACAAAC